AATCTGAAGGCCTCCTCCTCCTCCTCCTCCTCAGGATCCCGTGACGAACGCTCGAGGGTAGGAGCTGGAAATCCAATGGCCTGGTCGGAAAAGAAGATCCAGCAACGTCCTTGAAAGGAGGCAAGGCGGAGCCTGGATGGGAGACGACCTTCGAACCCTACTAAGCACAATGGGCAGTTAATTCAGCTATTTATGCCCCACTTTTCTCCCCAGTGAGGCCACAAAGCAGCTAACATCATTGTTCTCCTCCAGGCTCTCCTCACAACCACGCTGTGACAGAGCTTATGTTGAGATGCAGGGTTACCAGCTCCAGGTTGGAAAATTCCTGGACATTTGGGGGTGGCACGTGGGAGGGCAGGGACCTCCACCTCAGCAAGGTATAATGCCATAGAGTCCGCCCTCCAAAGCAGCATTTTCTCTGGTGTAACTGATCTCTGTCATCTGGAGATCAGTTGTCATACTGGGAGATTTCCAGGTCCCACCCAGAAGTTGGAGACCCTACGAGGAGTGACCTACCTGTGGTCTCCCAGTGAGCTTCCATGACAGAACCTCTTCAACCCAGATCTCCTGGACCCTAGTCCAGCACTCTACACAATCCTAAAGGCTTGGCTTGGGTTCAGGCATCCTGGGGAAGTGGCAGAATAGACTGAACCACTTTAATCGTACCTGTGGAATGCTTCACGATGTTAAAAAATAGTCCTACAAATAGAGAACCAGCACAGCAAACCAGAAGATGGCATGTGTGTGTGTGTGTGTGGGGAGGTACTGAACATTTCTCAGGGAGCAGAATATTTTTTCACATATTTTCCAGCTGGAATCAACCTTCGGTGTAAAGTGATACAGTCCATTTTCAGAGCTCAGCCACCTTATTCTTCTGTCAACTTTGTAGAGTTCCAATAAGTGATGGGGCACTGTTTTCTCACTACATATTTAAACTGCTGTGTGCACTACGATTTAAACCTAGCACTGCAGAGAAGTTTGCTGCCAGTGACTGACAAGAGTGCCCTCAAGCACTGCTGCAGGGTGATCACTTGAGGGCTTTCTGCTGAAAGCGTGACCTGTCTTCACTGAATGGGTCACAGCTGCGTGTCTGATCATATTTTTTTGCCTGATTCACACATGCTGAGTACCTAATTTTGAAAGACTGACAAACTGCAAGAAAAATATACATGCATTTTACAGAAATCACAGTGGATTATGTATGACGATTGAACACAACATATGGTAGTGTTATTTGAGTGAATTAAAATGATCCATTCCCACATGGTCAGCTGTGATTGTGTGTTAAAGAGACCCAGGTTCAAACAGGACCTATTAATTTTTTTAGGTAAGAAGTACATGCTACACAGCCACTGGAGACTGCCGAATTCAATACTGTGAAGTAGAACAGGAAACAACGCATTTTCATCAAGGACCTGCACCAAGGACCTACCCTTGACCAAGCAGCATAACAGCAGTTTGATAACCACTCAAGAATAGAGCATATTCTATGCCTTTCATTATACTCTAAGCAGATAAAAACGTAAGAAACGCTAGACTCTCTACCAAGCTATTACAACCAGGAATGTCCCAACCGAAACACAATGTCAGCCTTATGTGAGACTTATTTAATGCAGCTAAAGAATCCACCCAAAACAATGCCCTAACACAAAGGTGTCAAACTCATTTGTTATGAGGGCCAGGTCTGACATTGTCGGGCTGGGCCATGTGTGTCATAAAATGTAATGCCCAGTAGCAGATATATAAACTTTATAAAGGACATAAACACAAAGATTTTTTAAAAAATTTAAATAGAGCACACTTAAAACATTAGCACTCTTGCAATATTTTGTTTATTTAACAGTCTCTGATAACTGACACCTCTTGCTCTGAATTACTGTATCAAAATGTCTTTGCTGTAGCAATCTTGAGTATGCAGTTCAGGTTTGTATCTGTAAGCTGTAAACCTACTTTTGATTTCTTGACATTCATTACAGAATCTCATGTTAAGTGTTCTGAGCCTAGGACCCAGGGGAAAACATGAAATGAGTGGGCATTGTGAGCTTTTGTACATAAATTGCTTTGTATGCTGGTCAAGAACACAAGGTGGCATCCTGACACAAACTGAGGACTATGTGTTTGTCTACAAAATTATAGTCTTCTCCAGAGAAATAACTGCAACTCCTATCAGGCAGTGCAAGAACAGGGAGACAACCATGTATAGTGGTCAGTATCAGCCTACTATCTGGGAAGTCTAGGTTCAAAACCCCAGTCTACAAAAGAAATGTGCTGGGTGAAATTGGTCTGGACACACACACTCTTAGCCTAATCCACCCCACTGGCTTGTTGTTATTCCTCATCTAAATAGTTCACATTGCTTTCCTACTGAGAAAGACTGCATCATGAGGGCATGAATACAGTGAAAAGGGGAAGGGAACCCAGTTGCACCAGGAAAGCCCTGGCATAATGAGCCCAATAAAACACACACACAGCATAATGAGCCCAACAAAATACACACACACTGTAGCAAAAGCTCATACCTTGAATAAAACTTTGTTGGTCTTAAAGAAGCTTTGAATTTCTCCTGTGTGACTGAGGCAGCAGGGCAAAGCAAGCAGGAGGAAGGGAAGGAGCCTCAGCCACTGGAGGGGAAGAAAGGCTCGCCTGTCTCCTGTGCAATTGAGGCAGCTTGGCCAGGAAGCAAGCTCTGACTCATTCCCTTGCCTATCTATCTCTCCTGTGTGACTGAGTCTGGTAAAGCAGAACTTGGGGTCAGGAACAGATGGGTCGAGGTCATCTTTGGTACGGTCCCCGTGCCCTTCAGGAGAACCGTCGCTGGCGGTGTAGTGGTTACCGGTACCTCCAACTGGGTCGTAGGAGTTTCAGCTCCTGTCGAGGGGATAAGGCCCTCGTCCTCGCCTGGAACAAGGTGCTCCTCTCTGTCGCTCATCTCGGGTTTGAGAGAGGCATGTAGATAGAGAATGAAGGATTCTTAACAGAATGTCAGGTTCCACAGCCAACAACGGAGTACACGCTTATCAGAAAGGCTATACTTTATTGCAGAGCTATAGAGGCATTAACATAGTCACTGTTAAGAATGGAAATGGTCCTACAAGCATAATGCAATATAGGGTATTCGTATGCACACACCCCATTCCATAAGCCAATTAGCCAGGCTCCCGCGCACAGGGGAAGGGTCCCCAGGCCGTTAGAGGCCGCAGCTGGAAACCAAAAGCACTCCCACAATTCCCGGCATCCCAGACACTACACCAGCAACCTGCAAGGTCATTGATAAGCAAGCAGTACAGAAGCAAAAGCAAAGAAGCAGCATCCAGCCCAAAGAGGACGAGAATGAATCCCCCCCTCATGGCAGCATAGCTGACAGCCCTAAGGATGCCAGGCTCACTGTCACCAGGGCCTTTTCAGTGGCGGCTCCATACTGGTGGAATGAGCTCCTGGAAGAGATTAGGGCCCTGTGGGATCTTCTACAGTTCCGCAGGGCCTGCAAGACAAGAGCTCTTCCACCAGGCTTTCAACTAGGAGCCGCCCACCACTACCACCAATATCTGTGGTAAACGGCTGGCCCCAGCTTGGTGATTGAGCCACACCAGTGTGAGACGCCTGAAGATCGTTGTGTTGGAAATCCAGCTTATTACATCATACAGCACACCATCTTAATTACCGAAGGAATGACTATTGTGAGCACTTTGAATATTTGACTATTTTAAAATGTTTTAATGTGGATTTTATGGTACCTGGTACCTATTAATGTAAGCTGCCCTGAGCGTGTTCGCGGGGAGGGCGGGATACAAATGGAATTAATAAGTAAATAAAAATAATATACAGGAACTATGAAGAACAATGCTTTAACTGCTTCATTGGTTCTTTTTGTTCTTGATATTTATTGTAACAAGTATGATTATAAGCTACCCTTACAAAATAGAGGGTCATTTTAGAGGCAGAACAAATTCAGACTCTGTGGGCCTTGAAAATGTTAGAGATGTTATTTGGTCCAGTCAACTGGGATGTCAGAACTCCTCTCTGCAATCCCCCCCAAAAAAACTACTTTCCTACCCATGTTAATCTCAAGGCTGTATCACAACAAATAAACACATGGATAAGGCCATCCTTTTGTTAGGTGTCCCTTAGAGGGCTTTTGCTATATTAAGAAAACTGCCAGACACTTTCTGATGCAATACCAGTTTATGTCCAAGCTAAAAATAAAAAGGGTGAATGTTGTGACATTTCAGTAAAAAGGGGGCATTAGAGTCTCCTTACAGTATTGACTTTTAACTCGTAGAAAAGCAAAGAATTAGAACAAGAAATAAAAACAATTTTTTCTTGACAAATAATTTCACTTTGAAAATGCAGCAATACCTATATGAGACCTGTCCCCCATGATGAAGGTTCCCATGTAATTCTTCTATAATTACCTCCATTATTTGGTATGGATCTTGGATTACGTACGTCTCCTTGTTCAGAGGCAATGTCATCACTATCAAAATAAGAATCCCTGCAGGTATGTGTTTAAAAAATCAAGCGATCCCCTTGCCCAAATCAAGCTTCACAGGGTTTTTTAATTCTTTCCCACCCAAGTGTTGTATATCCACATTTTCTACTATCTATTTGCCACAAACAATAATGCAGTGGGTTAATATGAGAAAGATAAATACTTTAAATGAATAAATCTTCTGCTGGCAGCTAATGGCAGGCTCCATTTTAAAACAGTCCTTTAATTCCAGCTATCAAGGAATGACTGATTAAAGTTTGGATATTGCTGAAATGAGCATATTAACTGATAACATGTAAAGAATTGGACCAGGTCCTCCAGATGAGCTCCAAGGGATGGAGGGAACTGGAATGCATGAAGGGAAAACATTCAAGCCTGGTTTGGCATTACATCTAAACTGAACCTGGGTCTACAGCTGACCATAGCTAGAATTCTAAGAGCAACTTTAGATGCTCTAGATTCCCCCTCCATGGGGCTCTGAGGCAAGGGGTCTGCTGTTCAAGGCACACAAGTTCACAAGCCCTTTGATTATAATTAAACCAGTTATGCTCTTGGCTGCTTACAATAATACACTTCCCCAGGTCCAATTACACAGACTGATTCTGCTGTAAGACTTTGGCCATATCAATTTCTCAACTCCTAGTGGTTTCAGAAGGACAAAGTTAGCATAGTGCTACTGATATTTATGCCAAAATCTGAACAAAAACCCACAAGAAATCTTTTATCAATTAGCTTTAGTGTATACTTGACAGTATGGATTTGTAAGCCTACTTGTTTTTCTTCACTTATCTTAAAGAGTGTCTTAGATGTAAACTGTAGTTCTAAAATCTGAATTCACCATAAATGCTTTGGCCCAAAGATGAGTTTCATTTGCCATAGTAAGACTACTCCAGTATAGGAATATTTATTTATAGCCTTTTATCCTTCCATGGAGCTGATGGGATACATGAGGAGAAATGTGTTCTCCTTTAATTAAAAAATAGATCTCAAAATGCTTCAGGTTTTCATGCTGAAAAGTGGTCCTGTCTTAGAAGTTAGCTCTTCCACCAGACATTTGATTAAGGAGCCGCCGCAACCATCTGAGGCCCTGGCCCCAATACCATCAATATCTTAATAACACCAAAAATATCCTTAACATCATTAAATAGCCTGTGCCTTGCTGACATGACCCAGACTATGCGCTAATTGATTGTGGACTCCTGCCATATTGTATGCCGTTGCTAGCACTTTACGTATTGTTTTTAGATTTAATTTATTGTAATTTTAACTGAGAAATTGTTTTATCAGTAATAATGTTGTGAGCTGCCCTGAGCCTGCTGCGGCAGGGAAGGCGGGATAGAAGCCAAATAAAATAAATAATAAATAAATATACAAAAGAAGTGTTTTTATGTACAAATATACATTTTACGAAGACAACAAAATACATATTTACACATTCAGTATGTGATGTGTTGATACACATTTTTAAATGGAATTATAAGGGCAGAGTTTAATAGTCTTTAGCTTGTTTTCTTTTCCTCCTTATGGCTGTTTAATCAAGAAAAATATTTCTAAGAAACAGTAATTAAGGTTATTCTTTAAAAATACCCTTTTTAAAAGTTTGCACATTCAGGAATAAATGATACACAATAAATTCTAATTACTAAAATAGAAAATAAATCATACTAATAGCATTGATTTTGGAAAGTTCATAAATAAGCCTCAGTTACTCATAGATTATAATTACATGTATTATTTCACGTTCCCCAAAGAAGGAAGCAAGATCAAGGGTAATCTTTACAAGTGCAGGGCTTCTGAGAAGAAAGCATTGGAGACTTATAGTGCCTTTGTAATAATTTGGACATTTACTAATATACAGGCTGAATAGGCATTTTAGGCATTCTGAGGCAAAGCAAGCACCCAAGCAAGCAGTGCCAAACCCAAGACAGTACTTCCAAACCACTGTTTCACACATACATCTTTGCACATGTATGGCCAAACTGAAATGAAGCGAATCAATTAGTTTTTGCCTACACCACTCTGCAGGAGAATGTAACATTCCAAACTGTTTTAAAAAAAACAAAACACAGTCAAAACTGCTTATTAAGCTAAGCCTACAGCTCACCATGAAATACTAGGGAATAGTAGAACAAAACAAGTAAACAAAAAACCCTATATTTTCACTTTGCATAACAGAATAGCAGGAATATAACAACAGGGAGATATGTAAATAAACTGAACTGTAAATAGAATGTGATCTGATTTACTCTAGATTTATGGAATTATTTAAACCATCGGCAATCAGTACAGAGATCAGGAATCCCCAAATCGGAATTCTTCTACTACAGTTTGAAGAGTTGATGCAATTAAAGGCTCCGTGTTCAAGAGACTAAACATGGTAATGCCAAACAGCAAGATGTGTAATGGGCTACTGTTTTAACTTAAAAACAGCACACTACATGTAGACAAGGGGGGGGAGAATTCAATGACAACGATTGCATGTAGTTACATATATCCCAACTTGCTTGTCAGGGCCATACTTGGCAATAGGCATCACTCTAAGAACCCAAGTCTACACTGAAGATCTAAAAGCACGGGCAGGGGATGGGACGGAGAGGAGAACGTAACCTGGAGGGGAGAAGAGGCTGTTGGAGAGGGAGATGTAAGCCTTCTATGCATTTCACTTCTCTCCTATGCACCGCTCTGCCAGTGGCAGAGGTTGGGATGGAGATGGTAGGGCAGAGGGGTTAAACACCCTCCTCCAACCTTTCCCTGCGACTTCTGAGATTTAGAGAAGACCTGTCTTAGATGCTGAACATTGAGTATGGTCCTCAGATATCCCAGCTGTTTGAAAAGAGCCTGCACAAGTAAACTTTGAAATGACATTGACACACTGCAAACACAAATTATCAGAAATCCCATTGTGTGGATGTGACTGTGCAGTTTCTGCACAATTTCCATCTTTCTTCAGGAAACGACCTTTGAAGCTCACCATGACAAGGAGTCTTCTGCTTGGAGATGCAAATGGAGAACCCTGGATATGCCAAGTTGACTCTCAGTCATTCAGCGGTTCGGTGAGTTTTTTTTTAGAACCCTGGATATGCCAAGTTGACTCTCATTCAGTGGTTTGGTGAGTTTTTTTAAAAGTAGTTCCATATCTCGTAGTTGACTATGTGACAGTATACAGTGGAACTTCAGTAGCTTCAGGTTTCAGTCTCAAACAACACTCTACAGCTGGCAAGTTGTCCTCACTGAACAATCATGGGGATATGAGGAAATATAAAAGGAAAAGCGTGCATCCATCTGACATAATGTTTAGAGCTACACAGTGAGAGGATCCAACTAGAACCTCCATTAACTAGCAGACACAATTGATCAAGTCATATTGTGTCCAGAGCATGCCACTACCAATGCTTTTGAAGACAGCCCAGACTCCTTTTTGTAGTAGACAAGTTCAAACAGGCAAAAAATCCCCCTGCAAATGTGAAAAAGAAAAATCATGTATTCATATAAGGGTCCAATTAAACAGTTCTCTCAAAGCTGATAGGTATCTTTTATGCTTGAAGCAGAAAAAAGGTTCATGTGTCCAGACCAATTTTCCTTTGCCGTAGTGGGTACATTTTCTGTGGTGAACATGACGGTCTCTTTATTTTCAATATAACTGAATTGCTGGTGGTAGTCCCTGGGGATCTGACTTCTACTTGTTCCATAAGGTTTTTGCCCTTAGTTTGATTCTCTGCTTTCACTTCAGAGCTGGAAAATACTTCTTGGCGGATTTTGCACAGTTCCAAGGTAGGCTGCAAAGACAACGCCGTGGAGAAACCTTCTGCTTTTCCCAGGAGAGATGTCATAGACTTGGGGGCAAAATAAATTTGAAGTTATTACCTTAAAATGTTCATAAATAGTAAGGAAATCTCAAGTCAGATTCCAACATTAGCTCACATACTGTGTGCATAAAAAGCTGCCATTAGCTGTGCAGAGCAATTCCAACAAACATTTACTGCAGAGTGACAGAATGAGATTTCATTTCTCCTAGCGAACAGAATGCAGTTGAACAGTCTGACAGGTACACTTCCCTGCTTCTACAGTGACCCTGTTCTTTTTTACTTTAATGCTATTGCTCCACTGCACTACTTTTAAATCAATACGAACACACAGAGGAACACTTTTCCAATAGGAGAAGCCTGAAATTGTTTTCTCTCAAAGGTTCAAATTCCAAGTATTTCCAATGGCTGCACTTGAGCTATTTCAGGTAGTATTCAGTGGCCTATAGTTAAGCCATTAGTTGTTTATTTTCTCTCTATAGAAAATGTGTTACCCATCATGTGTTACCCATAAATTCTCAGCAGTATAATTTTTTTAAGGTGACAGGGAAGGTTAATGCTAATGACACAGATTCAGTTTCAGTGAATATAATGGAAACATATAAAACTACTCAAAATGATACCCCCCCCAGTTACTGTCTGCCCCATTCAAAGGAATATTCAGTCATCTATATTTTGCCCATATATTTCTCCTAACAGGACAAACATCAGCTCCATGGGGCTGTTTCAGGTCAGGAAAACCGCACAGGGGAAAAGCCCTTCTCCACCCAAGCCAAATGAAGTCTCTGAGCAGCTGCTATTTTAAAATAAAAAAAAATGCTAGGAAGATCTCCCAGTTTGTCATCTAAGAAAAATACCTACGCCTTCTCGAATACAGCTGCAGGTTTTTATATTTATTTATGTTATTTATAGTCTGCCTTTCTCACTGGGACTCAAGTTGGATTACACAGAATAAATCAATACAATTAACTGACCAGAGGGGAGGCACAGCGTAAATATTTAACATGATATGTTAAATGAAAGCCAAAAATTACATAGTAGGAACTTACTTAGAGGAACAGATATAGTGGTATAGTCTACAGTCCCTAAGTCTTTACCCCAAGCTTCTTTCTGAACCATATTGTTACAGTGCAGATGCATATAAATTAGATGGTTCAGTTTAACACACTTCCTACACCTTGTGCTTCAGCATCTGTCCTACAGCAATGAATTGTATCCAGACTAAATTTCCCATCAGCCCCACTGCAGTTCACTGGCCCTTCACAAAATGCTGCTCCTAAAGGATAGGAAACCTCTAGGAATAGCATGGGAGGGCTGTGCAACAAGAAGGGGGAAACTGGTGTAAATTTCCAATTTTGTATGTGTTTGTGCCTGAAAATATTAAAATGCTTCTGTCTGATTATACATCCACTTGCTGTGCTTCTTACAAATCTCACCTTAAATGAATTCCCAATATGTTTGGATGCTGCTTCTGCTGAAAGCCTCAGATTTGCCATTTGAGAATCTACAAAGAAACAGCAACAGAATCAATACCTATTTTCCTGAAAAAAGAAGGGGGGGGGGGACAACTCCATCTGCCCACAAGAAACTTAAAAAAAAAAAGATAACCAGGGCACCATCACAGGCAATTTGACAGTTTCCAATAGGTAAATCATTACTTTAAAGCAACTCGTATTTTCATATTGTTCACAATACAGTCTAACAACTTTTAGGAACATGTCATTAATAATGTAAAAGGAAGCCTTTACAGGCTAATAGTACATACCAGACCTCTTGTACACACTATATTTCATTTTCAAATCAAATGACTGTTCAGCTTTTGAAAAATGAATTATATCCAACACTGACAATCAGCACAACCACTCAGGAACCTCTCAACAAGTACAAAACACACTTGAAATCCGAGAAGTATAGGTATTTGCACATGCTAGCAAAAGCTTCTTCTCCCAACCATCTAGGCTTTAAGGGCAAAAGCTGGCTTGTATGTAAACACTTGCCTGGGACACGTAAAAAAGCACTCCCAGAAACCTGACAAAATTTATTCCCTCCCTTGCTCTGGCTCAAAATGGCTAAACATAATTATTAGAAATGGGCACAAACTGGGAAAACCCAGTTTGGGACGTGATGCCCTAGAGACTCCAAAATCACGGGGCATCTCCAGCTGACTCTCCTCTACCTGTCCACCAAGTTTGGTAAATATTGGACTTGGGGGGTCCAAGTTACAGACTCCCCAAACAAAGTGCCCCCAGGAAAGGGCTCTTTGGGGAGATGTGAGGTGTGGGTTCTGGAGTGTATAGAATGGACCCTCTGTGAGCTAAAGGCATCAGACTCGTGGCAGACTTCTCTGGGAGGCCCCCCTACATGCCCCAGAAGTTACATGCAGGTCGAACTTGGGGAGTCGGAGTTACAGACCTCCAAACAAGCTGCCCCCAGGAAAGTGTTTTTCGGAGAGATGTCAGGTGTGGGTTCTAGAGTGCATAGAGCAGACCCTGTGTGAGCTAGAGGCATCAAACTCATGGCAGAGCTCCCCAGGATGCCCCCATACACGCCCTACAATTTATGTGAGGATTGGATTTGGGGGGGTCTGAGTTACAGACCCCCCCAAAAGGTTCCCCCAGGAAAGTGTTTTTCAGGGAAATGTCAGGACTGTATACAATTGGCCCTGTTGAGCTAGAGGCATCAAACTCACGGTGGACCTCCCCAGGATACCCCCTTACAAGTCCTGACTTGGGGGGTTTGAGTTAAAGCCCACCAAAGAAGGCACCCACAGGAAAGTGCTTTCTGGGGAAATGTTGTCAAGTGTGGGTTATGGGCCACAGAACAGAAAGGACAGACCCTATATGACCTAGTAGAGGGGAGGCATCAAACTTGCAGTGGACCTCTTGGGATGGACGTCCCCTTCGCCCCAGGAACATGCGGGAGAGGACTCTTGTGGATGGATGTATCCCTGGCTGGGCCCATCCTCTCTCCACCAACAAGACGAACGCAGGGCCAACCCCCTCCACCCTGGCCTGGCAGCTACCCATATAGTAGGTGGCTGTAGTGCACTGCAGTGCAGGGCCAACCCTCCCATGCTGCCTGGGGCCCAGGAGCCAGCTGCACAGCTGCAGGTGGTTGTGTCTCCTTGGCCCACCCTCCTTCTGCGAATGGACAACATGACTGCTGGGCAGGGCCAACTCTCCCGCCCTGCCCAGGGCTCAGGAGCCACTTGCCCAGCAGTTGACTGTGTCTCCTCAGGCTCACCCTCCCAGGGATCCAGGAGCCACCCATCCGGTTGCAGGTGGCTGCATGATCCCAGGCCCACCCTCCCAATGTGGATGGAGAACAAGATTACAGGGCAGGGCCAGCCCTCCTGCCCTGCCTGGGAGGCATCCACACAGCTGGTGATTGCATCTCTCCAGGCCCATCTTCCCACTGTGGTCAAAGTGATTACTATACACACACAGAGAGATACACAGACAGACAGACAGACAGACAGAGATAGCTACTGATTATCCTTCCCATTGCCCTGACCTGGGTAGCCCAGGCTAGCCCAAGCTTATCAGATCTCAGAAACTAAGACGAGTCAACCCAGATTAGTATTTGTATGGGAGACCACCAAGAAAATCCAGAGTTGCTAAACTGTGGAAACAGACCTGCTTCATATGGAGAGTTTCTAAATGTACAGACTTGGGTGAAAAGTTGACTCTCACCCACTTCTCTCAACAGATTTCCTAATGAGTAAAATGCTTTGGCTTAGGCATACCCAAGAATCAGACTCCAGACAACAAACGGGGATCTGAATCATCCCACATGCGACTGGTTACAGGTCACTCTAAACAACTCCATTTGCCCCATCAGGTGGTGTGCTGCAATGGCTAGAGTGTTGGATTAAAGCTAGTGAGGAGGACTTGGGTTTAATTTGAAATTCAACCCCAAAGCTCCTTAGAATGACTGGCCCAAGGTCAATGTGCTCTAACCTACTTCCCAAGGTTGCTGTAAGGAGAAGGGAACTTTAGAGGAAGGGTGGGATAAAAATTGTAGTAACAGAGAGAGCTGAATCCACAGAATCCATTCAGATTTCATTGGACTAGGAAAGGTCTGCAATCCTTAGCAGGCAACTTGAAACCAAGGTGTTTGCTGCTTCCTGAATAAGCTAAATGCAATCAGGGTTTTTGCCTCAAAATGTTAATGGCTGTTTCCACAATGGCTGAGTTTAGGGACTCTATAGTTTCCGCAGAGGATATAAAACCATTCAGTTAGTTTCACTCAACCCTAGTTTTCACTTTTTGTGATTAGTTTTTTTTTCCTGTCAGAAACTTAAGAAGTGAAAAGAGGTAACCCAAAAACAGCAAGTAGGCACTCCAAACCAATAACCTTTTCTTTTGGGTCAAAATCAGAAAATTGTATGAAATTAGGCAGGGAGGCATTTGTAAAGTGTTTATATCGAGGTGATTAAATTTATTTATTTACCTTCAATTTGTATCCCGCCTTGCCGGTGCAAACTGGCTCAAGGCGGCTGACACAAGTTAAAATACAATAAAACCAATAAATACAATAAAATTTCAGTATGAACAATTACATAAAGTGCTAAATATAAACAGATGGTGGGAAATTTCTATACATGGTCCGCTGGAGAGAGGCCATATCCGGCATTGTTACATAGGGCTGTGGTATGTTCAGTTTGCAATGGTTGTCAGTGGTGGCTCCTAATCGAACGCCTGGTGGAAGAGCTCCTTTTTACAGGCCCTGCGGAACTGTAAAAGGTCCCGCAGGGCCCTGATGTCCTCCGGGAACTCGTTCCACCAGGTAGGAGCCGCCACCGAAAAAGCCCTGGCCCTCGTAATGGTCAATCTGGCATCTTTCGGGCCAGGGAGAGTCAGGCAATATTGTGACCCTGACCTCAGTGCTCTCTGGGGCACATATGGGGAAAGGCAGTCCCTCAGGTAGGCAGGCCCCTGACCATATAGGGCTTTAAAGGTCAAAACCAGCACCTTGAAACAAATCCGGTATGCTATTGGCAGCCAGTGTAATGCCTTCAGCACAGGCTGCATGGGAGAGACCCATCAACAGCCAGGCCGCCACGTTTTGCACCAGCTGCAGCTTCCGGATTTGGGACAAGGGCAGCTCCCTGTAGAGAGCGTTGCAGTAATCTAACCTCAAGGTGACCATAGCGTGGATCACTGTTGCCAGGTCACTGCATTCGAGGAAGGGAACCAACTGCCTAATCAGCCGCAGATGGTAAAAGGCTGCCTTGGCAATGGCTGCTACCTGGGCCTCCATTGTTAAGGCAGCGTCCAGGAGCACTCCCAGATTCCTGACCCTCGGCGCTGGTGCCAATGGCGCCCCATTGAAGGTCGGTAGTGGGATCCCTACACCCGGGTCACTCCGACTCAGGCACAGGCCCTCCGTCTTCGTTGGATTCAATTTCAATCGGCTCAGCCTAAGCCAGCCCGCCACATCCTGAAGTGCCCGTTCCAGGTCATCTGGGGTTGAGTCGGACTGACTGCCCAACAACAGATATAGCTGGGTGTCGTCTGTGTATTGGTGACACCCAAGCCTATGCCTCCAGGCAATCTGGGCAAGGGGGCGCATGTAGATGTTGAATAACATCAGGGATAACACCGCCCCTTGAGGAACCCTGCATACCAGCGGGTACCTCTGGGACGTCTGTTCCCCTACCGCCACCCTCTGTCCCCGACCTTGGAGAAAGGAGACCAGCCATTGTAGGGCAAGCCCCTGAATCCCTGTGTCGGTGAGGTGGTGGATCAGCAACTGATGGTCGACAGTGTTGAACGTCTCCAACAGGTCCAACAACAACAGTGCCACCTCAATCCAGAGGTCCTCTGTGAGGGCGACCAGTGCCATTTCCATCCCAAAGCCTGAGCAGAAGCCGGACTGAAACGGGTCTAGGATGGAAGTGTCATCCATAAAGCTCTGCAACTGAATCGCCGCCGCTCTCTCCAGTAATTTTCCCAAATAGGGCAAATTGGAAACCGGCCAATAATTGGCCAATTCGACCGGGTCCAAGGATGGGTTTTTCAGGAGAGGGCGGACCATCGCTTCCTTGAGTGCCCCTGGGAACAGCCCCTCTACGAAGGACTTGTTGATAATATCCCTGAGGGCACCTCGCAACCCCTCACGACCAGCTTTTATGAGCCATGAAAGGCACAGGTCAAGGCTGCCGTGGCCGCGTAGAACTATCTCTTTGTGGCTGTGACTGCCATCTCATAGGATCTCATAAACGTCCTATAGGATGCTCTTGTTGCTTCGTTGCGAGTGCGCCACCACTGTCTCGCTAGTTGTCTGAACCCTCGTTTCATCAGCCGCAGCTCCTCGGTATCCCAAGGAGCCCGCTTATAGTGAGGGCGCAGAGGGCGTTGGGGAGCGATTTCATCGATGGCTGCTGAGAGTCGGCCGTGCTAGTCCTCCACTAGCTCATCTAACAAGCCGCCAGGGGGCACAGGATCCTGTAGGGCCATCTGAAGCCGCTGAGGGTCCATTTGGCTCCGCAGGTGAGCTAAAATGTGCTTGCCGCCCAAACAGGGTCAGGGTGCCACATTCACACGGGCCTTCAGGGCATGGTGGTCCGGCCATGGAACCGCCATAGCAGTAATCCGGTCCACTGTAACCCCCGCCGCAAAGATCAAATCAAGCATGTGACTGGCTCTGTGAGTGGGGGCTGTTACATATTTGGTCCCAGTGCCGCCATGGATGACACCAGGTCCATCGCCATTGGAGAGGCCGCATCATCGGCATGGACATTGAAGTCACCCAAGACTATCAGTCTAGGGTACTCCAATGCCCAGCCAGACACGGCATCAACCAGGGATGACAGGCCATCGTTGGTGCGTTGGGCGGTCGGTACACTAACCAGATAGCCAAAGTCTCCCCAGCTTCCCACACAAAGCCAGCACACTCTATGCCTGTGAGCCTCAATGGTGGGAGCGCCCTGAAAGAGTAATCTCCCATACAGAGCCACTCCCCCCCACCCCTTAGTCCGTGACTGGTGGAGGACGGAGAATCCGGGTGGAGCCAATTGGGAGAGCACTATGGTCTCCCCATCTCGTACCCAGGTCTCTGTCAGGCAAGCCAGGTCCACATTTTGCTCCAGGAGGAAGTCCCACAAAATTGTGGTCTTGTCGTTAATGGACCTGGCATTGCACAACACCAGTGTCGGAGAGGGGTCCTTCCTCGTAGCCCCACTGAGAGGGGTCCTTCCTCGTAGCCCCACTGACCGCCACCTTTAGGATGGGGCACAGGCTGGAAGGTGGCCGAGCTTCTCTCTTTCTCTGTCCCCTTCCCTTCATTCTCCACCTGGTCCCACCGCTGTACTTTCCCCTCACCAAGAGCACTGGTATACCTTGACCCGTCATCACCATTTTGATGGTCTTCAAAGAACCACAGACCAATTTATGGCTGTTGATGATTGGGTACCAGCATGTGCAACACAACAACGTTAACAGTCAAAAATTCCTAAATTAGATACAAACTTGACGCAACCTACATTCTCACTATCGATTTATTGAACGCCTTCCTAATAAATCTAGTAGCCTATACTAGAAAAGAAAATGAAATAAACTAATTATTCCTAATGTACTTTCCCACACATTAAAGGAGAACAAATATGACTCCTGCCTGAACTGACAGCAAGGCAGCATTTCACCCTGGAAATCACAGCTTCAGTAAACAAGTGCTTCAGTGCATGAACCATGACAAGAGTAGGGGGGAAAAACCCAGCAACTTTCAAGGTAACTCACCACAGGGCACATTTTGCATTCAGGAACCCTGAAGAGATAGCTATTGTGATTCCTCACTCAGAAGTACAGCATAATAAGAGACTTGACAGTAAAATATTACGAAGGGGAAATAGGTCAAGATTCCCCAAAGGTTTGCAGTAAAGATACAGAAGCTTTTGGAAGTACTTGGCTGGCTGTGTCCAGAGTGTGCCCCAGCAATGGAAAGCGCCCATTCAGCTTGCGTCATTGGATGATAATTGGATGCATCTTGGACTTGATCTAAGCAAAGTAGGTTTAAATATTATCATGGAGCAGTGGCTAGTATGTTGAGACTGGGGAGACCCAGGTTCAAATCCCTCTTCGGCTAACCAAGCTTACTGGGTGACCTTAGTCTAGTCCCTATTTCTCAGGTCAAAATGCTCCAGAGGATTGTTATGAAGATAAAGGGGGAGGGCCACCACATATGTCACACTGAGCTTCTTGGAAGAAGGATGGAATAAATATGTTAAAAAATAATCCCAGCTCTGTTCTGAACCTCCTGAATAAATCTAGACAAGCCACTCCCTCTTTGCCTCAGTTTCCCATCTATAAAGAGGGAAACAATAATGGTGAAAGTTGCAGGGAGATACAGTAAGATAGAGACTGTGATGTACGTTTATTATAAAATAACAACTCGTGACTTTTCTAGGGGCATTGAATGGCATCTGTGCTGGAGGATGCAATCTGAAGAGATTCAGTTAGCTATGAAGATTGATACATGATAACATCTTCAAGATATTTGTTTCTTAGTAGCTGAGCATTATTTACATGGCTTCCACAACACAGGGAAATGAAAGGGGAAATGAAAGGTAGTGAGTAATCTGAATATTTTTGGTTTCTGGCCACTGTAGTTACTAAACAGGGATGCATGAACATCCCAGATACTATGCAAATACACACAATTGTGCATTAATTTGTTTAACATTTAATTATGTTGTTTTTGCTCAGCTTATAATCACAGTCAAATGTACTGGCTGCTGAGCACCAATTAAGAGATACTGGAAGGTCTCAGGTTTATTACTAAGACATTTTATAGCTCTTTCATTATAATATCCTCACAACTCTCCTCTGAGGTAAATGATTCATATTTATTTTTTGGGTTGCATTCCCCCAGGTCACCAGCAAGTCCGGGTTATTACTTGGATGAGGATCGGAAGTAGCCACTCAAGCAAGCAGAGCTCCTTGTCTGAAATGTGGCCAAAGCAGCAGATGATGGAAAATCCTTTGCTGTACAGGAAGCAGCAAGTTAAAGAGGAAATGGTGCCTGTATTCAGCTTAAAATTGGTAGTTAGCAGCAAAGCTCCACATCCGTCCAGCAAAGGGTGTTAACTAGCAAACAGCTAACACACACATGTGAAGGGGAGGCACAACCCATACCCCATCCTGAGATCTATCAGGGTTCCTGCTCACTGTTCCTCTTTGGGAGTTTTCAAACAAAAAAACCTTTCATTCTCACTAAAGGGAAACAAACCTGCTCTGGATAGAAGTTCCATGTTGTCACTCTTCCCAAGGTGAAAAGGGGTAAGGCAAAATGGCCAATGTTGCAGTGGGAAACAGAAAATTCGTTTTATACTAAAAAAGCGCCAACATGTTTTGCATGCAGCTTCGTCAGGGGATCTCTAAATATATTTATCTCCAGTGCTTATCTCACTGCTGTTGAACTCACAGAGAGTTCAGCCCCCAGGTTTGCGGAAGAATGCCAAAAGTAACAAAAATGAATGTGGGGGGTTAAATCCCCCAAAGTAGAGGCTTGAGCAGACAATGTGCCTCCACAGCCTCACCATAGGGAGAGGGGAGGAAGCTGCCATGGCCAGAACCAGATTGGCAGAGGGGGCAGTGCTGCAGGTGGGTGGAGGAAGGAGGGAGATTGGGAAATTTCACCCTCCTCGCTGCCACCCCCCGCTGACTGGTGGTGAGGGGTGCGTGTGTGCAAGCAAAGCAGTGGGGGCAGGCACACATGCTGGCAGAGTGGGGGGAGGTGTGTGGGCAGCCAAGCAGTGGGGAAATGATGGGCAAGATTCCCCTACGCCAAAAAGTTTAACAGGTCCTTGTGGGGGAGGGGGGGAAGCAACTGTCCAAGGACGGAGGAGTGACCGGGGAAGGGAAGGGTACGATGGGATCCTCCCCTTGATTCACAGTTCCCCATTTGTAGTAAAATTGGCATCACTGAACCCGTTCATCACAGACATCTTGAAAGCCATGAACTGGTGTTACATAATGACTAAAATACAACGCTACAAATCAAAGTTCCTGGTTCAAATCTTATGTTTTCCATGTGGGCTTATGCAAGTCTTATTATCTCAGCTACTCATCTGCAATATGGGGTTTCTGTAAGGACTATAATGAATTAATGCAGGTGACGCTATGAACATTTAAAAACATTACATACTTATTATTATTACTACTACTCTCCCTTGCTAGGGTTTGGGTTGTTTGTTTGTTTTTTGCAAAATCCCAAATCTAGCTATTTCAGGACTCTGTCTTAAAACCTCCTCACACTCACCTTTTGGTACTGGAGAGGATATGGAGTCAAAGGGCAATTGCTCAAATATAACATTATAGAGAAAATCTAAAAACCCAAGCTTTGAGTTCTAGAAGGACAAGATGCATATGAACAAGTCATGCAGGGATGATGCAGCCTCAGGACAAAAGTGCTGTTCTGGACGCACTTTTAATAACTGAATTTAAGAGCAGGATTCGCTGTGCCAGTTCTTGGCAAGTGCCCCTTACAGTCTTCTTACGTTTGCCTGATGCCATCCCACTATTGGTGGTCTGTGGAGGAAGGCCTGTATGAAACTTTCCAGCTGGCTGTTTTGAGCCAGCAATTACTATTTTTAAAAAAATAAAAAAATCTCAACCTGTTCATTGGGAAGCCAATTCCCTGTAGAACAGAATTTAACTGGCTTTTTTGTTTTTATACTGTGGTTTTTAATATAAACTACCTTGAGCAGGACTCTGAAGAGTCAGCCTAGAAATATTCTAAATAAACAGCAAGAGCACAGTAGGCTTTAGTGCTGCAATACTAGACTGTCACCATGGTCTCTATGGAGCACTACAATTAAATCCACCAAGACAGGTCATTTCAAACATAATGTTCAGAACAACAAACCTTCCCCCTGTTGCTCACAAATATAAAAGGCGTGTGTTTAAGCAATCTGACAGTCACTGACTATGAAAAACAGTAATTGCGAAAAAAAAATTCTTTTACAGGCATTTGAGGTTGTTCCAGGAAGTCAACCATGTTGTTGTTTTCTACTGCCTTTTCATTTTGTTATTGTAACCTACTGAGCCATTTTGGAAAAGATGCACATATTTTTAATACGTAACTAAAACAATGGTTGCATTTGTAATTAGCATTATGCTATATCGTTTCATCTTTCCTGCCAACTACTTACCTTGAGAAGGTGTTGCTTTTATCTCTTGAGGTTTCACAACAGGTTGATAGAAGCCCTGAATGAATAAAAACACATTAAAACATTATTATTAAGTATTTGGCTTGGCACTTCTATGATGCCCAGAGCAAGGCAACATATACAAAAGAGACAACCAGAGAGTCTGGATGCCCTGAGACTGACTCGAAGAAGTCAGAGTTCTCTATACGCAGGCTTAAACAAACAAAAACTTGTTTTCATCCCATTTATCTAGGATAGATATATATTACCATTACATACAATTCATTTCATTATTACATTCTAATGCAATTAGATGAAAGAGGAAGTTTAAAGAGAGACAACGCCCCCTAATGTGTGGTTTGGGAAGTGGCACTACATTGAAGGTCCCGGTCACCAGTCAGGGAAGGGAAGCATATTAAATGCGGAGCTAAAAGAAGCACGGGAGCGCAATCTTACACTCCCCTGCAGCTCCGTTCTCCCTCCGTCGGCACCCAATCACACTGGGGAGGCAACGGCGTAGTCCCAGTGAGGTAACACAGCAGTCCCGCATTAGTGCACATGCGCGGGTTGCAGGCGGCTGCAGGATGCTACGGGCTGCCGGCGCGTCGGTGATCCCACGCCCGCTGTTGCTGCGGATCTTCCAGTAGGTACTCCATTTTCCCTAGTACCTTTTTGATCTGCATTTTCAGCCGGATGCGATGGGTTAGGGGCGGGTGCGCGACGCTTGCCAGATGTTGGTGTCTGATTGTACCAGTTTGATTCGCCCTTAATCCGTCCCCTCCGTGTACCTAATTCTCCATGTGAACGGGGCCGAACTAGACCAAACATTGAACTAGATATTGCTAGATATAGAGCTGCTACTTGCTGCTCTCTATCTCTGCTCGGCAACATTTGGTATTCCACAATGTGTGATGTGATTTCATTGCACTATTTCCCCAGTCCCTTCTCAGATCACAGGCTGGCAGCAGTGTGGGTGGAGAAACACACAGCACAACCAATAATCTTTTTTTTTTGGGGGGGGGGGGGAAGAGGCCACGTTTGCTGTAGCATTCATATATAAACTGCACTGATTTTGACCAGTTCCCCCTTCAGGATTTGGTAGAGCCCTTCAAAAAAGGTGCTGCTACTCAGAGTTAAGTGCCACCTGGAAACAAGGGAAAACAGAACAGCTCCATGTATCCTGGAATGTTTAGGCAGGATCTTAAAGAGAGGGGTTGCCAGCTGCCCCTGAAATACAAGCTTAATTCATGGAATACATCAGCTGAAGCTTTTCATGGCATGGAGGTAAATAACATCTCATTAAGCCTTTTTTCCTCAAGACGTTTTTCCTCCAAGCAATTGGTAACCCTATTAAAGAGCCAGCCAGCTGTGGTGGATAAAGTGTTGGACTTTAAGCAGGCTGGGGTCTGAGTTCTAATCCAATCATGCATGCCCTAGTAACACCCACATTACACTACTTAAACATGCTCAGTGAGGGGTTGCCCTCAAAGATGATTCAAAGTTTCAACTAGTTCAAAATATAGCAGTTAAATTTCCTAACTGGAACCTGTTGTAATAACACATTCTGTTACATATTCATAGTGCTAATGTTGACCCTTAACACCCTAAAACAGCAGGTCTCAAGCATTTTGAATCTAAACTTATTGTACTTTTTGGGTCTCACTTGCAAAGTAATTCCACTCACCTTTCCCCTTCCCCAACATAATTTGTAGGTATCTCATATCAGTTAACAATGAACAAGTTTGTATTTTATGAGCAACAGGCTGTATTTTCATGGCCATTTTGTTCCTCCTGCAGAGCCCTGCAAGAGCGTCACAATGTCCTTTTGCATCCTGACCCACAGTTTGAGGTCCACTGCCCTAGACAGTCTGGGTCCACAGTATCTAAAGGATCATCTCTTCCCATATCAGCCTGTTCAAGCCCTTGTCCAAGTCCCAAATGGGTTGGTAGCATCCCTACTGTTCCAGGTCTCTAGATGGACTTTCTCTTTTATTGGTATAACATTTTAAAATATTATAGTCTTGCTTTAAAACTGTTGTAAGCTGCATTGGGTACTTCCATCAGGTACTTCCAACAGCTAAATAAATAATCACTGCTCAGCCAGGAAGCTTGTTGGACAGCCTTGAGCAAGCTACCTTCTCTGAGACTCTCCTACCTGAAACATTTGTTGTGACCACGTTTGCTGTAGCATACAGGACCAGCTGTTAACTGGAGGCCTTTGCATCACAGGCAGAACTGCCTCCCTCACAATACACAAGCCCCATCCTAGGGGCTGGGAAGGATAACTGTAGGGACCAGAACACTCAGATTTGAATCGCCTCCATACATTTACATTTACTCCCTTCCTCTGCTGTTCCCTCCTACCTCCACAAAATGAAAACAAATACTATCATCTAAGCAACGTGGAATGGTACAGTATAGCCCAATCTCGTCAGATCCTGGAAGCTAAGCAGTGTCAGTACTTGGATGGGAGACCACAAAGGAAGACTCTGCAGGGGAAGGCAATGGCAAACCACCTCTGCTTAATCACTTGCCTTGAAAACCCTATGGGGTCGCCAAAGTCGGCTGTGGCTTGACCACACTTAACATACAGAGCTTTTTGAATCTCATTAATCTTTATGGGAGCTCTTTACAGCAAGTTAGCATTACTATCCACATAACACAGATGGGTAAGACTGAGACTTAGCAGCTTGCCTAAGACCACATAGCAAGTTAGTTTACTTATTTATTTTTGTTTTATGTACTTCATTTATACCCTGCTTTTCTCCCCAATGGAGACCCAAAGCAGCTTACATCATTTTTCTCTCCAATTTATCCTCATAACTCTGTGAGGTAGTTTAGGCAGTGAGGTAGTTTAGGCAGTGTAAGCTGCAGAGCTCAGTGTTCTGAGGTAAAAAAAAAACCACAGTCACAGCAGACTGCAGAGAGCTAACGACAGTTGAGAAAATCAGGAATGGCCAACTACCTGTGAGGTGCAGCAATACTGCTGGTCCAGCCTCCCCCATGGCTTCAAACACACTCCCCCCATCTCCTACCCCTACAGGCGGCTGTCTGTCAGGTGCAGCAGTGGGTGCAGGCTGCTTAAAGCCATCAGGGAGCCCGCCCCAGCAGTAATGCCTTAGCAATCCTGCAGCCTCCCCAATGGCTTGCAATACCCCTCCCCCTCCTGTCAGGGAGGCTTGCTCAGCAGGATTGTCTTGGCCCAGCCTCCCCAATGCCTTTAAACACAATCCCCCCCCTTATACCAGACAGGTGGATGTTTGTCAGGTGTAGGAACAGGACCAGGGTACTTTAATCCATCAGGGAGGCCGCCCCAGCAGGATCACCTATGACCATCAACAAATCCCAAGACTTAACAGACGACTGCTTCTCACATGGACAGTTTATGTGGCCTGCTCCAAAGTGAGCTCACCATGCAGCCTGGTGATCCTAACACCTGAGGGCAGAACCGCCAATGAGGTCTTTCAGTAGAGAGGAAGAAAAAAACAGAACGTATGTCTCACTTCATTTTTTACACTACAGTCTTCTCCATTGCAATTCCTACAACAAATGTTAAATTTCAAACTTCACATCATCAGTATTATAACTGGATTTATGGAACTTAAATACCATAGTGAAGCACAGGTATCAGGCTGTAATATATATATCAACATAATAACTGAGAAGATACAGTATTTTCTGGACAGAAGAGGGACAGGTGTCATCACACCTATTATTATTTTATTCACAAAATTTACACTCTGCTTTTCTGTCTTTATAAGGGCCAGCAAGGCAGCAAACATATTACATACTAAAAACCATTCGAACCAAACTAAAACAAATCATTAACACAACAAAAACCAAGCTTAAAATATGTACAAACACATAAATAACAAATAAATCATAGGGCAGGAAGAAGGGATCACTGAGAGAATGCCACATGAAACAAGAAAGTCTTCACCAACCAAGGAAAGACTGCAACAGAAGGGGGTATCTCTGGGCTGTGAGTTACAGAGTTTTGGTGCTGCAGCCTAAAAGGCATTGGAAGCTGACTGTAGTATCTGGGTAGGTTCATAAGGGATTAGGCATACCTCAACACCAGCACCTTGAATTGTGCCTGGAAACAGACTGGGAGCCTACTTGTAGCGTTCTGTACCAATTGAAGTTTCTGAACACTTTTTAAAGGTAGCCGTACACAGAGGGCACTGTAGAATCTAACCTAGATGTAACCAGGGCATGTATCACAATGGCCAGATAGTTTCTGCCAAGGAGAGGCTGCAGCTGGCTAACCAGTCAAAGCTGGTAAAAGACACTCCGCAGCTGCCGCCTGCTTATCCAGGATTACTGTTTTCAAGAATCTTTTAAATTCTAGGGTTAAAAATACATTTTCTTGAAAAAGGTGTTAACAGTACACTCAAACTGCTTCATTAATTGTTGGCAAATCCTCCTTCACTAGCACAGAACTAAATTAGAAGAGAAAAATTCAAGTAGTTCACAATGCCTCTATGAAGACACGGAATGAAATTCCCAAATTGTGACACCCAGGAATATTTACTCGTCAAGCTATAAGAATATGATTAAATACTTCATTTCCCTTGAAACAAACATGGATCCCCCCCTTCCAGAGAATTAAGAAATATATAATGTATGGCAATAGATTTACAGATCCTCACCAAAATTTCTTGCTGTGCTTTAATGCCTTTGACAACATGAGCTTGTATTTTTCTGGGACGCTGATTACGCTTGGAAGCCACTTCCACTATTAATTCATCAAGCTGATCTTCAAGGAGTTTGATGTCAGCACCTAATTAACATGAAAAATATGAACACATCATGTGACAAATCAGTACTCTGTGTGAAACTTTGTCAGTGGTATCTCACCCCCCCCCCCAACAAGTAACTCCTCCCTAAATCTCTCCTGCTTAGGAAGCCCTAGGCATCCTTAGGAGCTCTGAGAAATGTATGGATAAAATTTCCAGTAATCTCATTCACACAGTAAGAGACACATTCCTCAAATTTTACTGTCAAACAAACACTACAAATGGAAAAATGCCCAGCTCCCCTGAGGGATGTGTGGATCCATGTGGAGGAGACTGAGATTATGTCCAATTTGAGCATGCTGATCTGAGAAAACCATGAAGTGAGAAGCAGCACTGGCTGCAGGTGAGTTCTGTAATCCTGTATCTACCATTAACAACTTGTGGTGAGAGCACTCTTGACACAGCTTGGAGGATCGGCACCAGTACAAATGGGAAGATAGTCCACCTCACTTGACAAGAAGGCAACAGCTTGAAAAGGGTGCTATCAAGTTAGCACTGGGTGTTTTTTTTTTGCTATAAATGTTCTGTGTATTAAGAAGCTACACAGAGGTACTGCTAATGGCATTGATGGATTTTGAGCACCCTCTACTGGACAAAATCTGTGACATTTAACAAATAAGGTTAACGGAATAGCATTTTTTATCCTAAATACCGTAATAATTAGACCTGAGGATATTTTAAAAAACATTAACTGTATTCAATAAACATTTTGTTCTTTATTTGGAGATAATAATGCAACTTTCGACATTCAACAACTGCACCCAGATTTTACATATGTTTTCTTCAGATGCATACATTTCTACAAGAAGCCATATAAAAATTCTTGGTTGCTGCTTAATGCTGCTTAAGAATCCCAGTTGGCTGGACAGAAACAAACTTCAATTAGTAAAGGTGCTGACCTTTGGACACCACAATTAAGAGCTAGACTGAAATCTTCCACAGGGAGGAGGAAGGGAGGGAGGGAGGGAATGCCTTTCAGTTAACATGGTTTGTGCCCATCACAAAAACTCCAGTTTGTTTAGACGGAGATGGTTTTCTCACAGGAGAGGCTTTTATAGTTTCCCCACTGCTGGTGGGGCTGCAGATAAAACACACCGGAAACAAGGCCTCCACAAGGCAGGTCTTCCTGTCCCGTTCCCCCAGCAGTGTCTCCCCACACACACAGCCACTGGGCTTTTGCCATTTTTAAAGCACTAGAATATCAATACATCATTGCAACAACAGGTACAGCATGGCCCTTGAATTCCCAGCTTTCGTTTTTTTAAAAGCAAGTCTAGCCCTTCTGTTGCAAAGATATGCCTTCTCCCTTGTATTTCCACAAGCTAGAGACTTACTTACCTATTATTACAATGATATATCAATATCTGTGCTGGTTTTTAAAAGAACAGAAAAGCCTCCCAGTGATAGGGGAAGAAATGGCTGTTGTGGGAGACAGGGTCAGGGGGAAATGGCTGCCACCTGGCAGAAAAATCCAATTTTTCCTACCCACACAGCAGCCATTCAGGCTTTACTACAATTTCCCCAAAACCTTAGGACAAGGCAGGTTTGGGAAAGATCAGCATAAAGCTGGGGGAAACCCCAGGAGATGCACCATGATGCTGTGGGAAAGCAGGAAAAAAATGATAAATCCAGGGCTGATAACCTGCACAGAAATGACACGAGAATGACAAAGGTGTTTTGCATACTATGTTGGACATGTGTCATTTCCCATTACTGCTGTAGCTGTCAATCCAGCACATCAGTATATTAAATAAATAAATAAGCAACTATGCTTCTACATGAAAGGGTTTCCAGGTTTCCCTGCCCCAGTCTCCTGGAGGCAGTCAATCCCTTCACTAGGGCCTTTAGAAAAACCCCTGCAACTAAATATCATTATGTTGGTATAACACTGCAACAGTATGTGAAACAGGATCTATGAATCCTCAGGTTCATTACAAAATAAATCTCTATTCCCTTATGAGATTGATTAGGGCTGTACACACATCTTTTACATTTTAAACAAGACAGCTACCATTGTATAAAATATATGCAGAATGTATACACACTCATGAATTGCACTTGAAAAATTATGAATATCATGGCTGAAAAAAGCTTGATTTTCTAAACTCCTTAAACTTTAATTCAGCATATCTCAGTTTTTAAGACAGTCTGGATCCTAAACATTTGAGTTTCAACAATGGAGAATAGATTCAGTTTGGAGAAGCAGATACACAGTTATATCCCACAGGTGGCTAAGAGATGCAACATCAATCATTTTCATTCAAGATAACAGAAAACCTTGTATCTAACTGGTTCATGACTGAGTGCGCAGAAACCTACAAAAACTACTTTCACATAAAAATGGTTCCCAGTGCTCGACTACTTATCCCACAAACAATTCATCTCACCTGAATGGTCCCAATACCACAAATGGATATAACATCAATAGAAATTATAGTAAAAATTTACGGATATCAAGACTAACAGAAATTCTATTCCTTTTATGTCTTCCTTCCTTATTTGTTTAGTTAGTTCTTTTCACTTCTCTTCAAATGTTCGATGCTTCATAGAATTGGTTAACACACGAAGATACGCTGTTGTTTGCTCTAGCAGTAGAGTAGACATAACTTCTCACCAACTACCCAAGTTATGTTAGATATATACACTGAATTTACAAGTTTTGTATTGTCATAGTTAATGTACTGTGATTCATTCAACTTGATACAACTTTGTAAACCAATTTTTTTCTTTAAGATGATATCGTAACAATTTATGAAAATTAATAAAAAATTTAAATATAAAAAATGACTGAGTGCAAGGGTTAAGATGATTAAAGCCAGGATATTTTAAATAATCTTCTCCTTAAGATCAATGCAAATTTAAATAGATTAATATTTGCCCCAGATATGTATTGTTATTGTGGGAATGTCCATATATAGCAGGGGTGGCCAAACTGCGGCTCTTTCACACATATTGTGCGGCTCCCGGCAGGGTGGCTGGGGAAGCGAAGGGGAGGCATGTCGCCCTGATCGGTCTTCCCTTCCCCAGCCAGTGTTTCCCTCCCTGGGTATAACAGGAAAGCTATAATAGGAAAGGGGAGAAGAGAAAGTAAAGCTGTGCAGTAATGTTTCTGCCCACAGAAACACTGGGGCTGGGTCCAAGCGTTATTTTTCAATTCTATAAAAATACAGGGTCAGATGCAAATGACAATTTCTTCAACGCTTACACAAAAGTTCACACAGTGCAACTATGGAGAGAGTCTGTAACAATTCTCATGGTTTCACTTGTGCAAGAGGTTGCACAAACTTTCTTACAACCTCCTGAACAAGCAAAAATACATCTTTGGGTTTAGTTTTACTTCCCTTGCACAGTGTTCTAGTGCAATATGTAAATCATCCCTTGGGAACAGTAAACTTAACCTAGATGAAAAATTAATGGCAAGACGCAAAACTATAACAAACCACAGAAGCCATATTACACACACAATCTACAGAGAATGAGCTAATTTACCAATCAATAATATTGATAATAATTTTCTGATTTATTGATCAATAATACTGATTTTACAGCCTGCTCAGAATCTCATCCCAGGGTTTTGCCAGGCACCAGCTGAGGAGCTTCTCAACTCATTCTCCTCTAAGGAGAAATGGGAGTGTAGCTCACTGTAAATCTGCAGGTATTCCACTGATGTGTCAATGCTTTCAGGCCAACTGAATTTAAAACGAAACTGTTTTGCCTCCTGCTGTTCTGCTTAGGTAGCTATTTTGCCCAGGAAGAAGCCACAGCATCAACTTATGTACATTACAGAATAGGATATCTACCAACTTCCACCAAAAAAGCACCTAATTTTCCTGCATCCTTCAATATTTTCTCATCACAAAATGGAACCAATAACTGTGTAATAGTTTATATTTCAAATAAAAAACTGCTACATGTTGTCCTATAATGTAAGTGCTTTTCCAAAATCAGATTATGGTACTGAAGATACCATTCATGAAAACCTTCACTGGACTACTGAAATTGATATGAATGATCAAGTAACTGCCTTATTCTCTGAGAAGTGTTCAGACATTACTCCCTATACTAGTTACAAAACTATAAAACATCCTCTGCACTGAGCTCAATGGGCCAGCAGATGGCAGATTCAGGACTCAATCAAGGCTGAATTGGCCCTGTTAACTATATTGGGACTAACAGTGCCCTCTTAGGCAGAGTTACACCCTTTTATATGCAGGGGACTTAGGATCAAGGACTTAGAGACCCTAGGCAGCCTTCCTTCCAAATATGTTCCGTGGAATCAAGTAAAGGCATTTATGATTGAGATGTTCACCACAGAATTACAACTGGAAGAGGCCTACTTACTGCAGAGCTTATCTAGAGTAACATTCTACCACAGGGCTGGACACTAGAAGCAAACAACTCTCCAATTGTAAATGCAAATAGATACCACAGTGCTGGAACACAGGATTTTTTCAAGAGCAGTTCCATACTACGAGATCACATCAGGTGTTTTCAAAGTACACTACAGGCACAGGTGAGGGTCCTAGAGGCCAAATAATTCTACTCACCTGTATAGATATTCATGAAAGGTCTATTTTAACTATAACTGTACAAACTTGGAAGCAAAAATCCACTAGGAAGTATGTATCATTTCCTGGTATTCAATGTAGAAGCCATTGTGGTGTAGCAGTTCAAGTGTTGGACTAAGATCTGGGAGAGCCCAGGTTCAAATGAACTTTCTGGCTGACCCTGGGCCAGTGAAACCCTCTCAGCCTAATCTACCCCACAGGATTATTGTGAGGATAAACTAGAGGAGGACAGAACAGCATTGGAAGTTGCTTTAGGTCACTATTGGGGAGAAAAGCAGGGTATCAATAAATAAAATGAAACAATGTAAAAAGAGTATCAAAGTACTGGTCACTAGTATCAAAGCTAGACACTCTCCTAAGCACCTGAAGTAAGACCACAGAAATGTAGTAGTTAATATGAAAGTTGGACCTAGAAC